TTCTTTTATATTAGAATATTAATTTCATCGACTGAACAAGGATAAACTCGATATTTTTCTTATATTGTAAATACAATTTCGAACGAACGATGTTGTTTTTTCATGCTTCTTTAATAAATTTACTAAAGTCAGCCTCGTAAAAGCTTAGAGTGAAAAAGAAACGCGAGTCTTTAATGCCCTGGTATCATCATAAAATCTGTTGGTAAAAGGTGTTCAGTTTCACTTGTTGCATCGACAACGTGTAACACTGCACCGTTGAATACAGCATCCGTTTTACAGCAAAGATCATTAAGCCCGTAAAATTACCGTTACCCTTTAGAAGAATTTATTCTGCAGAATTATTCCAGGTTTAAAGATACCCAAGTCTCAAATATCAGTTGTTACAAATATTACTGCGAGTCTTTCAAATCGCTAATGATAGAAAAAATGTTTGGAATGATTTTACTTAGTGATTTCTATATTCATATTCCTTTAAAAAAGCAAACATTCAAAGGTTCAAGAATTTATATGCCTGTATGGAAAAAGAATTTCGGAGAAAATTGGTTAAAAATATTTGCAACGATTTTACTTTGTGATAACTTTTAATTTTTGTTTGTGGTAAATATTAATATTCTTTAAAAAGCAAATATCCAAAAGTTCAAGAATTTATATGCTTATATGAAGAAAAAATTTGGTGAAGATGTCGAGAACAAGACACTGAAATATATTAGGTTTGCAATATTTTTTGAAACGTTTGTACTTAAATTTAATAAAAACAAAAGTTGATTTTCGTGTGATGCAAACGAATTAAAGCGTCTCTACGTGCTAAAGTACAATGCAATACAATGCAAGTATAATGCAAATGCAACGTAACGAGCAATGTTAATGTAGAAAAAGTAAAAAAACGGTGGATAGAAAATTATACAAACTCCACGTACTTTAAGGTATAAATTATTTAAATACCGTGTGTCTGTAACTCGCTGAAAAGTTCTAATTTTAACGGTGCAAGCACGCGAGTGCGTCGAAACGAAACGCTGTCAAACGAGATTACATTAAATAAGATTACATAAATGCTGAATGAGGTTACGAGATGTACAGAGGATGCAGTAACGAGGCGATAAGAAACTTCATCAAAACGATGCGAAACGATGTTAAGAGCCTGGCTGTTTGACAACTCCTGTAATGAACGTCTATCGGTTCGCGGCCAGATAAGACTTTACGAGGGCATTGTTTTTTCCTTCTTTTTTTTTTACTTTACGACACTTACGGATTGCATCTTTGCACCGAGATGCCAGAGACTCTGTACGAGTCGTTCGGATGACGTCATGGCCCTTTCTGGTACCGCTGCACCGGGCGACCTTTTACACCACTGCAACGTTGCCAGTATCCCCGATTTTCTTAAAGCTTTGACCTTTTTGCCATTTCAGAAACGATGTACAATTCAAAATGACAACGATCCAAAATTCACGAACGATTTTACGATTTTTAAATTAATAATAAAAACTCTAGGTCACTAGAGCAGAGATTTTTCAATCTGGTATAAGGCATCTCCAAAAAAATATATGAGAGTTTCTGTCTTTGAAATTTATTACGTTTATCTTGATTAAATCAACATTGAATTATTTAACCCTTTTGTCAGGCAACTACCAGCCAACTACCAAAATTAAACTCTTTTTCCACACAGAGATTTATAAATGCCTATAATATCATTCATTTTGTAATGATTATAAAATTTAACCCGAATAGTGGTGCACTAAATTATCTTTTTTTTCTCGCATTTTTCTTTTTAATTTAGTCTTCCAAGGGCATTATATTAATATAGTGAAATCGTAAATATTAACGAAGATATAACGTTGTTCGTCGAGCGCGATCCAACGATAAGCAATCGATCTTTAAACTTCAAACGTGTTTTTCTCGAAACCGGTTTTTATACACTGGTAACCTTTTTCAGAACTACTCGTCCGATTGATTGGCAATTTAAACTATATGGTCACAGTAACATTGTGCTTTGTCGGCCAAAGATTATTTTAACTGTGAATATAGGGATATATTTAGTTTATAAGTTAGAAACTAGATGTAAGTTGGTATGGCGGAAGTCAGTAATTCGGTAATTATCAAAATATCGCAGTAATTCTTAAAAAGTTTGTTATATTCTTAAACCACGTCTTGTAGCTACGACAATAAAATAACCTTGCCTAGTAACAATTCAAATACTAATCTAATAATTAAACGACTGATTCGTATCGAAGCGTAACGACAATTCCAACGATACCCTCGTTAAATTCCCTCCATTTTTAACTCGGCCTGCACGCAGTTCCATAAAAATAGCTTCGATTTACGATCTGGCGTGGGCAAACTCTCCAGAAACGTGGGAGAGACGCTCGACGATCATACGTGGAGGACATCGATATAAATCGATATCACGCGAGTCTTTCCATCCGTTGCAGAATTTCGTTGAGCTCATCGTCGGACAAATCGGCACACATTGCATATCATCATGTACCATAACGTTGAAAAGAGACCACGCTCGACTAACCCAATCGCGTCGTTTAGAAGTTATAGTTCTGGGTTAAACTTCTTAAACCTTTGACTCTGGGTCAGCTGTTTCTTTAGTTGGAGAACGGGGAAAATATTGCTTCGAAACTTGTCGTATCGTACAAGATGCTTTCATATCGTGCGAGATTAGAAGTCAACGAATAAAAAGGCCTTTGTAGAGCATTATTTGAAGAATTCAAATACATTGAAAGCGAATTGTTCGGTTTTTATTCGTTATTTAGCATTTGTATCCGAATAAGAAATTTTCCCGTGTCCGACAGCGAATTCAATTCGCCCCGTTGTCGAACGAACGCGTCGCCATTTTTGCGAGCCAGGGAATTCGCATAAAGCGCCCGGTGAAATGAATGCCCGCACTGACGTCATGGTCCTTTCTGGAGAACGGATGCTACATTCGATGCCGCTGCATAACGTCGATGCCACGATTGAAAATGTTATCGAACTTTCACGAGAGTAGTTCTGTTTATACTGAATTCTGTTTACACGACACATTACAAAATGGCCAAGACAGAAACCAGAAACACTAATACACCTACTGGACGTATACAGGGTGGATAACGTAAGATCTTGCAAGATAGTTTCGCTAAAACTATAATGGTTAGTGTACAAAATTCTTTCATCATGCAAACATATAAATTCTCGAACCTTTAAGCACTAATGTTTCTAAAAAAATTACAAACTTAATATTTCAGTTGTTCTCGACCACCACTCATAATGTAAATATATAGTAAATAGTGATTTTCATAGCATGTAAAAAACTGTATCACCTTGTATATTGTAACGTTTTCGATAGGATATTTTGAGTTCTCTAATACGACGTGAATAGTCAACTTTCAAAACCTCATTTAGATTTTTATGCAATTGTATACGTATCATGTAACCATCAAAATTCTTGATCCTTTAAGCACTAATGTTTCTAAAAAAATTACAAACTTAATATTTCAGTGAGTTGTTCTCGACCACCACTCATAATGTAAATATATAGTAAATAGTGATTTTCATAGCATGTAAAAAACTGTATCACCTTGTATATTGTAACGTTTTCGATAGGATATTTTCAACTCCCTAACACAACGTCAAAAACTATCAAAATCTCATTTAGATTTTTATCCAGTATACGTACATATAACAAAAGTATGAAACAAAATTTTCGTAGTGATTTACCTTATCTTCTATAAAAAAAAAAATATTGAAACGTAAGAAATGCACAAAGTTAATTTGAAAAATAGAGAAAATTTCTACGGGATTTTGTACAATCTCAACTGAAATGTAACATCCTGTGGAGGAGGGGCCTTGTTCGTCGAAGTCTATCATTTTCGTGTCGCGTCGTATCGGTAGAGGGATGGAACGTGTTGCGAAAGAACGATTCGCCTTACTTCTGTACGAGAACATCGAGTGCGGGCGGACTTCGTGGGAGTCCGTCGGTAATTCTCTCTCGTTCAATCCGCTCTGCTCTTCCTCCGCATTTGGAAACGTTCTGCTTCTGGCCAATGACGCCATGCTATTTTTTTTTTTTTTATATTCTTCTTTCGAATCGCGTATACGTTGTCGGCGAATAATTGCATTAAAAACGAAAGGAAAAAAACACGCATCTGCTAAACTCGTTAGCTCGCCGAATGGCCCATGCGACGATCGCGTCACGCGATTCCAATTGGTCCCCTTTGATTGTACCCAGAATTGCTTTCGCGCCATTTTACTTTTTGGGGAACGTTCCGAGCGAGTGACTTGGGGTCGTCGATAGGCGATTTTTTAAATCCAGTATTATTGCAGTATAATTGCAGATCAAGGGTTGGGACAATTTTCTTAATTGCTAACAATATTTAAAGATTTTTATTTTGACAAATGAATAACTATCGATTCTGATACGTTATGATGTTTTAATTTTAATGTCACGCACACGCTGTAATTATAATATTATTGTTTAAGTTGCGATATTGGAAATAGAATGAAAACTATATTCTCTTTAAAGTTTATCTGAAGAAAAATTTAACTAATACAACGAGATATCAAATTTTTTTTATGTAATGTTATCCATTTCTCCAGATTTGGCAATTCAGACAAATTATTTTATACTTTCTACATATATGTATATAATCATCCTTGCAAATCGATTATCTGCGCTTTCGAAACCCTTGATTAGTACAAATAATAGAGTCCTACGTATTTATTTAAACTTATTTAGGTTAAGTTTACTTTCAACTTCTGTTAATAACGACTGTTGATGACAATGTTTGGATAACATACACGGTTTATCCTTTCGGTACTATCGGCGTGTTTGTCAGATTATGCGTGCGTTAGACGCCCATGGGCGTTCGTTGAGTATGCTTAACACATACGTCTACAATATTTCCGCACGACGCGTATTGCACGTTCTATTTTTAACACCAAAGGGTTTTAATAGTGAAACGACATTGTTTTAATTTTGCAAGCGTTTAAATAACGGTCATTGGATGAAATTGTTCACTTACCCTGTAACCCTTCTCTCCCATGCCACCGTATTCTCCACCAGCTCCTTTTTCACCCTTTGGACCGAGAGGACCATCTGGACCAATGTCACCCGGCATACCTTCCGGGCCCTGTGGTCCAGGGACTCCAATAAAGCCCAAAATACCCTTTAAACCCGTGCAGTTGCATTTGCACCCGTTATCGCAGGTCTGAAACAAACAAAAGAGAAGCAAAATTAAAAACAATATACAATTTTGCAAATATAATTTACGATTTGTATAAATTTTATGCCTTGCTGCAGGTTCACGAATGTTGTATCGAATTATTATTCTGTGTAATTGCACGTAAAGTTCAATCGAATTATTATTCTGTGTAATTGCACGTAAAGTTCAATCGAAGCATTTATACATATTTATAATTATGTCATACAACAAAAAGGGTAATGCATTTTAGAAGAGTAACAAAACAATTTTCAAGTTCTTTTTCTCTTACTATTTTTCCTTTTTCAAGGTTCTCATTTAATTTAATAAAATTAATAAATAATTCAGTTTTATTATCTTGCTCGATGTAATAACAAAATACATTCCCTGTCAAGGTTATTCTACGTAACAAAGACCGTGGAGAATAGATAATATTAACAATATCATAACGCGTTTGTTAAAATTAAATTTCAACACTCGTAATAAAAATTAAGAGAAATTAATGTCCAGGAATACTCTGGTTTTCAAGTTATAATACAAGAACGAACATTTTTTCACGACGACAATTTGAGAACGAGTTACGTCATTCCATCCCAAGGGACGTTGCTTACATGAATAATGCGAAAGCACGGGAAAATGGACCTGTGCTTCCCCGCATTTGCCCCGCAGGACGAAAGTTGTTCGCTGCTTATGTCAACGAGACTTTGAGAGCGTCCAACCATTTTCTAGGAAACTTTGATGCGGCGTGTAGCTTACACGGACACGAGACACGTGCTCGTTCATCCTTGTCTGTCGCCATGTTACCTCCATGCACGTGCAATGTGCCTTTTCCACAGACACGATACGAACACGTCGCTAAACACTTTTGTATTAAAAAGTAGAGCAACCACCGTTTACGTTCTGTGGTTTATTAGCGTTGGTTATTCAGCTGCTCCGATGTTTATTGTGGGCCGAATTTAGAAATTTCGAACATTCAACTTCGCCGCGCTTCCGGAACACTCGAAGCTCGAAGCTATCGTTGTTCGAGATTTCGTGACAAACGGATTGGAAATTTACATTCGCTGGACAATTCTGCTAATTCTTTATTTCGCAAAAAAATATTAATGCGTTATCGGATCAAGAACCGTACGTAATATTTTGCAAAAATAAAATTTTGATTTTGAACCATTGTAAACTACATAACCTAAAGTTTGAAAGAGAAGTGTATTCCATTTATTATGAATTAATACATTCACTTCCAGATTAAGAACTGCATAATATTTTACAAAATTAAAATTTTGATTTTGGACCGTTCTAAACTACATAACCTAAAATTTGTATCAGTACTTTTTTGTAAGTTAAAATTCAACTTGAGAATTTTTCTCTGTTCTACAGTGGTAAATTCTTTGGTGTGGCAAGGTGTTTAAATATTAAATAATAAAAGAATTTTGAAATAATAAATGAATTTAAAAGAGAAAAACTCACACGTGTATCTATAAAATGGATAATTTTCGTAGTCTTTGGACAGAGATCGAAGTCGATAGATAAAAAATTCACAAATTGAAAATAATAACATGACGATCGATGTGCAGTGAACATATGGTAGATTAAATTCTATAATATGAGATAAATAGTATCTAAGAAAAGTACGGAGAAATAAAAATTAACGTTCGTGTAACTCAAATAAAATTTCAATGGTTAGAAAAAAATAAAAATTACATCTCGTTGCTAAAAATATTTAAACATCGAGGACGTTGGTGTTACTTTTTAAACAGAGTTCCGGTAATTCGAGTGAGTTCTGTTTAAAACGTTTCAATAACAAGGATTTATGTAACAGAAGAAAAAAACGAAACCGCGCTTCAGAATCCGCCCACAGATGAAAATTACGCGGAATCAAGGTCACTCTTGCATTAATGCATCAGTTTAATGCCGCCTACGCGATTGGTTGTGACAATTCACCTTGTTTCCAATCGCGTGTCAAGGTATCCTCGTCACTTTGGAATTTTACAAAGCTTCTAAGAATCGAACGATGCAACGACCTCTTGATTATACGACCCAGAAATTTAATAATTTATCATCGTCGCTCCGAAATTGATTTAATTCGCATGATCTGAATACGGTGGACACTTGTTTAACGAAAAAAGAAAATCCCGACCAAAAATTAACGCGCGAGACGAAAACTTGTTTCGGATTCGGAGCGTACCCTAATTTAACTTTCACCCTTTAAAAGTTACACGGGAAATTAAGCAATTTATTCATTAATTTCAGATCAACAATTTTTTAAAACTGAAATAAAATTTTGCAAATCTTTAAGGGAAAGAAATTATTCAACTTAAGTAATGTTAAATAAATAATCAATTTTCAATTTTGTCTTTCCTCAACAATCAAATTGATTGCATTCAAAAATTGCTTCTATTAATAGAATTAATGAAATGGGAGCTTTGTAGAGGGTTGTTTCAACTCCGAAATCTAATAATTCGTATTGTTAAGTATTTTTTATATTCTTTCACATTAAGTGCATTCTGTAGTTTTTAAAAAATTTAAATTTCCCATAAATGCATAAATAACCGCAGTTTAGTAATAACATAATAAGCTCGAGCAAATAAAATCTTTTATAATAAAAAAAATTATAAAATCGTGAAATTTTCGCTAATTTTGAGCTCTCGTTTTCAAACTCCAGAGGGCTCTTGAGGACTCAAAATGAATCTAATTGTTTACTAAAAGTATGTGCCTTTTTATCCCTTTGAAGAAAGCAAGGCTCGTGTTCGTTTCCCCAATAAAGGATCCCACTTTCAGCGGTCTCGTAACTCGTTACAAAATTCGATTCTTCGCTGGTCTTATCTCTCACGATATTCATTTTTACACGATGACCTCGGAGGGGAACAAGATCTTCCAAATATGTATCGCCAGCGCCACATTTGCTTGCTTTCAACCATCGACGTGACGTAACCGTGTCCAACTTGGACGAGAATCGCATTCGCGCGTGACATAATGTCGCGATTACGCGATAGCACGATCTGTCGCGAATTACCGCTTCTCAAATTGTTAAGAATCGCTGAAATTAGCAAACTGCACCCAAGGGTTGAGTCGACCCGTTGACATGTCTAGGAAAGTTCTTAAAATTTGTTCAAACCTTAGTATGAAAAACAGAAATATTCGATCGTTCGATGGGGTGATGCCATTATACAGTGTTTTTAATAACACTGGAATTATTTTAAAATTTTATAAGCGAAGGGAATGTTTCTCAAGCGCTAAGCGTTTGAAAGAAAAGTTCTCGAAGCGCCGGTCACAGATGACCACCATGGCAATTAATGGGATAATATAATAAGATATTACACTATACTTCAGAACATATAGAAATTATTGTTATTTAGAAGTTATACAAATTTTTTATTACTACACTATATTGTACTGTATATTATACAGTACACTAATAGAAAACTTATATAACGTCTGAATAGCAATAATTACTGTTTGTTATACAGTATAATTTAGTAATAGAAAATTTGTATAACTTCTGAATAACAATAATTACTGTATATTATACAGTACACTAATAAAAAATTTGTATAACTTCTGAATAACAGTAATTACTGTTTGTTATACAGTATAATATAGTCATAGACAATTTGTATACTTAATGAATAACAATAAATACTGTATGTTATACAGTATAGTATAGTAATAGCAAATTTGTATAACTTCTGAATAACAATAAATACTGTATGTTATACAGTATAATATAGTAATAGCAAATTTGTATAACTTCTGAATAACAGTAATTACTGTTTGTTATACAGTATAATATAGTAATAGCAAATTTGTATAACTTCTGAATAACAGTAATTACTGTTTGTTATACAGTATAATATAGTCATAGACAATTTGTATAATTAATGAATAACAATAAATACTGTATGTTATACAGTATAATATAGTAATAGCAAATTTGTATAACTTCTGAATAACAGTAATTACTGTTTGTTATACAGTATAATATAGTCATAGACAATTTGTATAATTAATGAATAACAATAAATACTGTATGTTATACAGTATAATATAGTAATAGCAAATTTGTATAACTTCTGAATAACAGTAATTACTGTATGTTATACAGTATAATATAGTAATAGCAAATTTGTATAACTTCTGAATAACAGTAATTACTGTTTGTTATACAGTATAATATAGTCATAGACAATTTGTATAATTAATGAATAACAATAAATACTGTATGTTATACAGTATAATATAGTAATAGCAAATTTGTATAACTTCTGAATAACAGTAATTACTGTTTGTTATACAGTATAATATAGTCATAGACAATTTGTATAATTAATGAATAACAATAAATACTGTATGTTATACAGTATAATATAGTAATAGCAAATTTGTATAACTTCTGAATAACAGTAATTACTGTATGTTATACAGTATAATATAGTAATAGCAAATTTGTATAACTTCTGAATAACAGTAATTACTGTTTGTTATACAGTATAATATAGTCATAGACAATTTGTATAATTAATGAATAACAATAAATACTGTATGTTATACAGTATAATATAGTAATAGCAAATTTGTATAACTTCTGAATAACAGTAATTACTGTATGTTATACAGTATAATATAGTAATAGCAAATTTGTATAACTTCTGAATAACAGTAATTACTGTATGTTATACAGTATAATATAGTAACAGAAAATTTGTATAACGTCTGAATAATAATAATTACTATATAGTATATAATATATCATCATAGTAATATAAAATAGAATAATAATAACTTTCATCGAAGACGATCGAGATACGATGTTCGAAAGCTGCGAGTCGAACAGTGGCATACATGTGTCGATTGACGATGCATTTAATTGTTAGTTGTTTATTAATTACATAGGAAAACGTACACTCTGGTTGAAAATCAATCAAACCTTGCATTGCTGAAGAGCACATTTCACATAGCAGTGGATAGTAAATGCATTGCACTCGCATATTCGATCAATGCTAAAGGACGTATTA